AATGCGCTTAATACTCGTAGCATAGTTTCTATATATGACTTTTTGGTAAAACATTTACCCCCCCCCGGTTTTACCTGCACGTCCTTGCGCATGCCTGCACTCTCTCTCTTGCGCGCGCTCTCTCTCTCTCGCTCCCCCGCTCGCTCTCTCGCTCGCTCTCTCGCTCTCTCATGCACGCAGCAATTTCATGAATAAATGAAAAATTAAATACACACAGGTCGGAAGTATACTTGGGCTCCCAACACAGGTATCGTGTGTGGGAAACAGTGCAATGAGATGAAATTGAAATCACTTTTCTATTTTACAATTGTATTTTATATTGACTAAACATCTCGCGATCGACTGAGAATCAGTCAGCGATCTACCTGTTGATCGCGATCGACTGTTTGGGCACCCCTGCACTAACGTTTGAATTAGCGGTATCAGACTGTGTTTCTTTTACGTGTTTACAATTGAACAAGGCTGGGAGATATTGTGAATATGCACATTAACGTTTGAACAACGTTGAGTTATTGTGAATGCACTACGTATAAAACTACGTTTTGAGAGTTAAGAGAAACGTTAAAGAAATAATTTATTATTTGGGGAAATCGTCTTATGTACTTTTGTTTTTGTAGTTTTATACGTTACGTTTTATACGTATTTATATTTATATATTCACAATATCTCCCAGCCTTGTTCAGTTGTAAACACGTTCTATTCTATGCGCCTTATAATCCGGTGCGCCCTATATATGAAAACAGTTCTAAAATAGGCCATTCATTGAAGGTGCGCCTTATAATCCGGTGCGCCTTATAGTGCGGAAAATACAGTAGTTAATTAGTTGCCATTTAATAGTTGTCAAAATCAGATAAGAGGGGTTATGGGGGTCTCATCCAGAAATATTTTTTTTGTTTAAATGCACCAATTTGGATATTTACTGCAGCATTTTATAGTTTTGGTCTAGTTTCAGTCCTCTTTTTGGTCTTTTTCTCTCTATTCTCTTTGAGCATTCATCAGGCACAATTTCAAACAATGATAAATACTTGAATACTTTTACCAACACGTGAACTTTAGAAGTTTTCTGTTTCCGCCCAGCTGGTGAATTTCTATAGCTGTAGCTGTTCACAAGTCACCTATGTATAGTTTATATGTAGTTTAGTACTACTCAATGGATTTCCTTTGGTTTATTTATGCACACACAAGAATCCCATCACTGTTAAACATTGAATTAATGTCATAAACAAGCAACGACTTGTCAAACAATGAAACTAACGACAGCTAGTTAACATAGAAAATGTTTGGTGAGGCAGCAATCGTTTATGTAGCACATCAGACCGTCATCACAATTTTAATCACACATCACAGCTTTCCTCACATCATGGATATATATATGACTAAAATCTATTTTCCTATTCAGGGGAAATACAAAATTGAATGAGTCCAACATGTTTTTAATGCACTGTTATCTTAATTGAAGCTATAAATTCCAGATATTTCGTTGTTGTCTGTAAAGTTGTGACACACTGACACAGAATCCAAAAGCCTGGTGGGTCTGCAGAGTTCAAAATCATAGTATCCTGAAACATCATCACATCAGCTGCTGCTTCACAGGAGGTTTTGGGATGAGATTTATTTTAGCGACACGTGATACTCAGTTTAAAGTTGTGTTAAATAAAGACACGTGATGTTTACTTTAAAGTTTTGTTTGGTTAAAACAGCTTTTGGTTTGGGTCAGTTTCCTTCACAGATCTGCAAAGATAAAACCGCTGTGCGTCTATGGCACGATGAAAACAATGAACTCACCGCTGAGAAGTTCGATCCAGCTCTGCACCGTCTCTGGAGGCTGTGTGTCTTTGATGTGTTTCAGAGCTTCATCCAAGAGGACGTCCCCTGTCGGAGCGTCGGACTTACAGATCACCTGCGGGTTCAATCCAGAAGAAACAAAGTTACAGGGGTTCGAAAAATAACTGCTTTCTTTTCACCCATCACATCGCTCACTTACATTCATATCAGGAGTTGAAACCATTGACAGCTTGTTGAAAACTGTAGGCTTCACATTTAATACATTACTTTTTCGTTTCACCGAGATTAACAGCTTTTAGGACTCATTTTTTTAGTCGGATTCCAAAAGAAACCACAGCAGAAAAACAGGGCACAACAAGATGACGTTATTACATAAGAAACAGTCAAACCCTAAACTGTGAAAACTATGTAAAAAAAAAAAAAAACACAGTTCAATAATACACCGCTCCCAAAAAACATGTTTTCACCTCTTTATGGAAGCTCGAGACATTCCTCCTTTGAGGATCCACCAAAATATCCATCTCAGACACATTTTAAAAGATTTTATTTGTGATGTTTTCACTTATGCTTATGAATATACTAATTACAGGTGCAAAAAGTAGTAAGATGAGAACCCGACAACATCAGACGTCATCTTACTGAGGAAGCTGCAACCAGGAATGTTTTTGCTTCTTTTGCTTGATTTAAATGGATAACCTGTTATTCATTGGATTCTGCTGTTTTTATTACCTTAATGAAAATAAATCCAACACCACTTTCTCCAAAAGCTAACCCCCTCATTTCACTCTGCACCTTAATGAAGCATGTTAGGATGAAGGATTATGTACCAGTCAAGATATGGGGTGAACAGAGTTTGTTAATAGTTTGCTGAGATAATAACTTTACATTACAACAACACCCGTTATCTATATATTTGCGTTCCTGTTGCCTGCAAAGACATGGACGAGGAACAAGGGGACCCAACAAGGCACTGGGAGAGTCCTACAGGAAAACTTTTGTGATTTTCTTTCTTTTCTCACTTAGCAGAGCTTGTTAGTTTGTTTTAAGTGGAGATAGTGGTGCACTCATAATATCCACATCGGTGATTTTTGTGTTGTGCTTTAACTTTTGTTAACAACAGAGAAAAACTTTAATCGGCTCAGTGCCGCCAAAGGCTCGTCAACACAAAGCACCACACTTCAGTTGCTCCACATTCAAACAAGAGCAACAAATGGCATTCTGTTTGCATTGGGAAGCGAAATTCATAGAGTAGAAAAATGAATATTAAAGGTCCCATATTATGCTTTGTCTGGTTTTATATGCCCTTTAGTGTGTTTTCCAAGTGTCCTGTACATGTTTAGGCACATCATGTGCAAAAATTCAAAGTCCATGGAAACACGGCTTCTCCTACGTCCTCCTGTTAGCTGTAGCATTAGCTGCATGTAACACTCGGTTCTAGCCCCCCTCGAAAAAAAATTGTCAGTCCGACGTCATTGTCAGTGTGAGATCACTGATCTAAGCCCATTGGCTCGTTGCGGCAAGCCCAGCAGCTCATGTTTAAATTTCCAAGACGCGTGCTGAGCAACTGACCAATAACGACAGAGCGGATCAGCAGACCAATCAGAGCAGACTTGGCCCACGTGGGGTCTAACAGTTTGGGCACAGCAGAGTGTAGCTGACGGACTCAGAGCGGAGAGGGAGCAAGGAGGAGCAGTACATGAAAACAGACACTTTTTTCGGACTTTCGCTATTGTGAACGTACAAAAGTAGGAACATAGATTAAATATATGAACCCCAAAAAGGGCAGAATATGGACTCTTTAAACGGTGTGGACCACGGTGACCGTTGCTGCGCGATATCAGGCGCTAGTGTGCTGTTAAGAAAGGCGGTTACATTGTTAGTCTCAGTGTCTGACAACATAAGAGAGACGACCACAACAGAGATAGACCTTTTCGTTAAAGAGAAAGATGATTTTTAACCATAAACAGCAGTTACATCACTCTTTACAAACATACCAGACTACCTTGATAAAAACAAGAAGTTGACCTCACAGAATAGAGTAGCTGCTGGTCCACTGCTGGCTTAAGTGTTGTTTGTTTTTATGTCTATCACAAATAGTGTTGTATACAAACTGACCATTTAAAGCCTCAAAGACACAAAACAACAACAAACAAGCAGCCGTGAACCAGACACTTTTGTGTTGTGAGGTTAAATTGTCGTTTTATTTGACAGAGTCTGGCTAGCTTAAAAAATTCAGAATTTTATAAAAGGGAAATGGCAAAAAACAAGAAGAGAAAAGAAGGTAAGAAAGGAAAAACAAAATAATTATTAATGCAGTAAAATCAGAGAGATGTGTCCCACCTTCCTAGCCAGCAGACCTTTCCTCCTCATGCCACAGGCCTCCAGCTGCAGGCGTCCTCTCAGGGCCAGTTCAATCAGCATGCAGCCGCGCAGCCCGGAGGAAATGCAGTCGTTCCAGAAGGAGGTGTAACCCTACAGCATGGAAACACACATCACAACACTGGTTTTTCAAAAACAGTTGGCACTGAAGATCAGGATTTGCTAACAAGAGATCTCACTGGACCAAGAATGCAAAAAACGAGGAAACAAGGAGAACTCAAGTGAGGCCCGAGGAATCAACTTAAATCAAACAGGTCAATAGAAATCAAACTTACAGGTACTTTCAGGCACAAATATTTGAATCCACTAGAAAAACTTGGCATCAAATGAGTTCTCACTGGTTCAAACATTTCAGCTGACACTACAGTCTTACAACTTTTGTAAAGTGTGTGCGTCCATGCGTGTATCACACACACATAAATATGTGTGTGTGCTTTTGTGTGTGTGTGTGTGTGTGTGTGCTCTTATAGATGTATGCGGATTGAATATATATATATATATATATATATATATATATATAAAATAATATAATATATACTATATATTTAGTCAAACCACCTAGTCTACCACTGATGCAGGGAAAAGGACAGGAGCACACCACACTGTCGGTCCACACTTTAACATCCAGCTTTGACGTTTATATAACACCTAGCTGTGCAATCTGTCAGTTTGGAAATTAAGTGATAGCTATCAAGTTATTTAATTAAACTTAACATGGATAATTAATCTATCCTGGCTCAGATCAAACGGTGTCTCATCACCTCACTGAGTCAGTCCGCAGGTCGAGCTACACTTGCAGCTCGATTAAGAGAAGTCCATCAGGGATGATTGAGACATGTTTTTATTTCATTCTTTAACATCATGAATAAATGCTGAATCTAACATGTGTTTACACAATAGATTTCCTGTCACCAATGCCTTATTACTTCCACAGAGAATCAATGTGTAAAAATAAAAGCCAGTTATGAGTACCTGGGCGCATCGGTACTCTTTCATTAAGGCTATAACTATCTAACAATAACAGAGAGAAGTCGGAGGTCAACAGGAGAAACCCACACCTGTCTGTACAGAACACATGCTGAAAAATGTTTTATAAAATATCATAAGTTTCATCCTACTTTGGATGTTGAAGGTCAAGGTAAAATTGTGATAAGATGTCTTGTAGAAACCAACTTTATGCGCATGCATATTAAATACAATTATGGGAAGAAACCATAAGTAATAGAAGACTAAACAAGGAGTCACATTTTGGTCTTAGTCTCGAGTTGAACAATTGAATAGAGTTGTAACAATACCAGAATTTCAGACCGCGATAAGATTCTTGTGTAAGTGATACTGAGACCTACTTTGATACCATGGCAACAAATACAAATACTAGACACCCGATATTGGGTCATATTTTGTTTCGTATTACCCAAAAATGAAAACTGCACTCCTACACACTGTCAAAATTGCATAAAAACAACAACATACAAACAACTATGCCATTGTTTTTTGTGCAATTCATAGTACCCACATCTTAGTGGTCAAGAATCAGTGCAGTTAAATTTAGGGTGAAAGATTTGGATGTATGCATCGCACATTGCACTGGTGAAATGTTCAGTTTAGTCTGAGTAAAAAACATCAAAAGACTATTTTAGTATTTAATAAGTGAGCATACAATCTTTATCTCCAAAACAACCTGAACTATCAGTATATGATGTTAAAGACAATTAGAATAAATCATTTTTACATTTAATATTTAAAAATGAAGAATGCATATAATAAATGTATAATTAAAATACTGAGTTTTTCTTCTGGAGCTTGGATAAACCTTCAGGATGGTTTAGTAATTTGAGATTTAAAGTAATGTATGTGTGTACTTCTGACTCTCTTTCAAAATAATGGGAATTAGTTTTAGTTGGTTTGACAAGTAAAACACAATACATGTATAAATATAATCATTTTAGCCTATAAGGACTTATTGTAACCCTGTCAGTAAGTTACAGCCCGTCATTCTTCATCGTTCCTGTAAACCTGTATTTAACCTACAGACGGCTACAGATCATTAACATCTGTGTGATTATTTTACGAGTTCAGCTACTTTTCTCCTCTAATGATTAACACAACGACAACTATCCGTTACCAGACCAAACATGGGCTAAGTACCCGACATTCACTGCTGATTAAATGTAAAATATCTGTCCATAATATGAAGATAAAGGACCATTATTATTGTTAGCTACTGCGTTAGCTCGCTAGCTTTAAAGCTAACACGGATGCTATGTTTGTTAAGCAAACAGAGCTAGCTAGCGTTAGCTTTTTTTAACGTCATTGTTTATCTTTATTTACAGAGTTATTAATCGGCTGTTTCTGATATCACCTCTCGGTCCTTCAGTCCCAGCAGAAGCACTTCTTCCATTAGGGTGAGACGGGTTTCTTTGGAGTCTCCGGTGTCGTCGTCGTCCTGCTCGTCTCCCCGCCGGTTCTCGTCCTCCTCCTGACCGGACGGACGGTCCTTGTCAGCGGCTAGGCGTGAGGCTTCAGTCCGCCTCTGCACCAGGCCTGAGCTCCGCTGATTGAGGGAAGTCATGTCTGCCGGCGAGTCAGCTCAACAACGACGGAAACAACCCGCCTCGGACCGAACAGCCGGGATGTCTTACCGTGTTACAGGTCGGACACCATACAGCATGTGCCCTAAAGTGTGGTTCAGTACGGAGGGCTGTGCTCACTTGTCACCCGGATTACTGCTCCTTCTCCTAGGCTCTGTCCTCAGCCATGTACCGCTGGATAATGTCTGTCTAATATGGCGCCGTGTGGAGAGTGTGATACCGAACTTATCCAGCAGGTAGAAGCCGAGATAACCTGCAGAGACCACGGACTGTGTATGCTGCAGACTGAGAAACTTAGAACAGGACTACTGCCACATCAGCACATCTCATAAGCACAAACTCCAGCCACACTGTTATGATGAAGCTCTTTTAATCAGCATTATGCTATTTTGTATTGAATACCTCTCTAATACCCTATTTATGAGTAGTTCTTTTTCAGCCATCAAACATAATACACTAATTTTAAACAATATAGACAGTTAAAACAAAGTCAACAGAGATGTATTAAAGAAGTAAACTGCTTATAAAAAGCCTATTCTACATTATTATCCAATACCAGCTTCCAAAGAACAAAGAAAAACAACAACAGATAAATCATTCATCTGTAAGCCTCAAAAATAGCTTTACCAAGCTTCTTTTTTTGTTTAAATCAAAAGTGAATTACAGGGTTGCATTTTATATTGGCATCATTCTTTAAGTTAACCCTAACAACTGAAACACATCTCATTTCAGTTAATTTTTTTTGCCAAGTTTGTACAATAATAAACTCACAAACACCTCTTAAATCACATTTTCTCTCCTGAATTGAAAATAACTTTTGGATAGAGTCTGGATTTGACTTTGCCCTAAAATGAGAATTAGAAAAAGTGAATTTGTGTGTGTGTACTTAATAGATTTTCTTGTAAATAATCCTTTTCTCTCTGTCCACTTACCCTGGCACTGCACATAAATACTTCGACCTTCATTCAGCCACCAAACTGTTTATTATCTACTCACTCATCATTTACTCAGATGTACATAACTACTAATATATTTGTAAATATATGTGAACATATTTTGCAAACGCTGCTGTACAGGATTCCTGCAAACAAAGTTTTGTTGTGTTTTTATACAATGACAATAAAGCTTCTATCTATTATTGTCTATTATTGTCCAAAGTGTCACAAGAAGACTTAAAGCGTCACCCTCCTCTGAAACAACGTTGGCCCATTTCTCACACGTCTTTGCAAAGATTTCTCCTTCACGTCTTAAAGAGAAAGTTATTTTACTATTCCCATACATTCCCAGAGGTTTGGGGGTTCAGGTTTATACCATTTCCTAATGTAATTGTTTTCTTTTTTTGGGGGGGGGGGGGGGGGGTTTGCAAGCGGTAAACAGTCAACACAGATGCCAGTTCATGACAACATCCTCTCATTAAAGTAAGATACAGGGCCTTTACATCATCAGGGACTCCATGACCCAAAATCTATAAGATTAAAAAAAAGACTGAGAATCTATTTTACAGTCTTTAACTATTGAACTCAACAAACCGTGATTTACTTTATGTACGATCATAAAGAACAAATGCTGAAAAAAGCTACATTAAAACAACACAGGCACTAATTAGTAGATAAGGTATTCACAATATCAGAGTTTTAAACTTTGATATGATTCTAGTAAAAATCTAGCCAAATTGATACCTGATTGGATACCATGGCAACACAAACAGAGGTCCTAGACATCCAATATTGGATAATTTGTTGTTTTTAAATATCACAAATTGCAAACAAACTTCTTCACATGTTCTAAATTGCTCAAAAACATTTTATGTTTAGTCAATTTGTCATGGATTAATTCTTCTCCCACACAACTGTCTTCTGATTTAGTTTTTAAAAGCTTCATTACTTTTCAATACTTTATCTATCATTGAAATAACAGAGATTTTATGGTTCTAAAACAAGTGGTATTGACAAAGTGTTGAACATTTTGACAACCTTAATGCTGATTCATGTAATAAGTTACAGTATAAAAATGACAACACGAACTTTGAAATGGCTCACATGTCGATGATGTTTCAGTGTGTTGTGTTCAGGATATCCTCTCTATTGTTGTATTGTTTTCAGAGGAAGAATCCTTCATGTGGTCCTGTGATGTAATCTGTGCAGTCATCCAGAGTGGGAGTTCACTTTTTGTCCACTAGGTGACAGCTCTGTTCACTCTCCTACTGTACTACTATCCATACCATGGAGAAGAGTACACTGTGTCTCTGTGTTGTGTTGGCAATGATTCAGATTTAAGACTTACAGGTATCTCACCTGTAAAAATGTTCTTCATTTGAGAGAAGTTTCACATATTTACTGATCAACAGACTCATCCTTCACCATAATCTCTGCAGAATGATGGAGACAAACAGAAAAATAATTGGATATGAAAATGTACATCTGCACTGACTGAAGAGTTCTTGAGACAAAGCTTTTAACATTTACAAAGTAATGATAACCTGATGGAAATGAACCCGTTCATACATGAATTAGTGAATAACAGAGCAGTTCTATACTTTTGTTACTTCTGTGGACATGCAAAGTGTTTTTCTTTTATTATTCATAATAAAATAATACTAATAATTCATCATTTTGAGGAAGTTACAGAACTGTCCACATGAGTGACATCATGCAGCACTGTAACGTAAAAAATATTCTTTTTTTTAAAGGCATAGACAAAATGTATATTTATTTCTGCTTTTAATACACAGTTTCATTTTGTCACATGTGCGCTGAGATGGAGAGATTTGAGTTTAGACTTGAGCTTTTTCTATAGAAACACAATAAATGAATCTGATGGGATAAAACCTTGCAAGTTATATTTGAAAATAATTGACTCACCGAAAAGAAAAGGCTCAACGTCAAACATTTTCCAGAACAACAAAGTCTCCATTTTAATATGAATTGTTCATGAAATATAGCCAGGTTATTAATGATGATTTTATCAAAACAGTATTTACATCTTTAAAATGATATTGCTCTTGTTAGTTGATGTTAAAAAATCACCTGGGAGTGTCTTCTAGAAATGAGGGATTTGTAAGATACTCCTGAGCTTCACAACATTTCTGACTTTCTAGTATTGGCCATCCTGATTCTGAAAAACATTTTCTTACACTTACTACGGCTGGCCAGCGGGTGGCGCTGTGCAGGATGACCTTCTTATGTCCACTGAAGTGGCTCATGAAACCATTCTATCAAAACCCACATATGAAGAAAATAAGAAGCAAAGCCTCAATGAGATTTAGACTCTCATGTACAAGAGTGTCCTGCCAAAACAGGCAGGCAGCACAATGTAACAAGTGACATAAAACACAGATCAACATATCCTGAGTCACAGAGCAGGAAGTTATTACCTTAAACAAATGAAATAATAATGTTCTGCACACATCATTATTATATTGTGCGTACAATAATTATCTTGTTGAAAAAAAAGTATCTTCTGCGCACATAATAAATAAAATCACTTTATGCTCTATGGGGCTCTGGGGATTTAGACAAAAACTGAATCTTTATCCCCGTTTCCACCAAGCGGTCCAGTTTGGTTCAGTTTGATACAGTAAACCCTGAACTTGTTTGCGTTTCCACAGCCCTTACCCCGTACCCTTACTTGGTAAGTGCAGGGTAAGCCAGATGGAGATAGCCACTTTGAATTAGTGACATAGCAGCAAAACACAGTGTAGCCCGCTATTAATTAAGTTAAACCAAAAAGAAGAAAGGGACACAGTAAACAAAGGACTCTTTAAGGTTGGATCAGTACCCTTGGCACCCCAACAGGAGGGTACCAAAAAAGTAGGACAGTACGGATCCCTTATTTTGGTACCATTCCCGAAACGCCTATGAATGGATACCAAACCGAACTGAACTGGACCGCTTGGTGGAAATGGGGATTATCTGTTGATCATCTAGATGCTGATGCAGACAATCATTTTTTTTGGATCGATATATATCTCTGAAAGGCCGACTAATTGGATCCTTTTTAAGAAAAACAGAAATGTACGTTGTGTGCACAAGATAAAATACCTTTTTTTTATTTTATTTTTTACAACATTTGGGACTTGAGTGTCTCCGTAGTTTTGTCTCTTTAAATTTCAGTCTGTGGTATTTTAAAACCTAGAGTACGGTAGTTCCCACTGGTCCTGAACGTTGCACCATGTCCTGGACGTGGGCGGGGATAGAAATCCTAGATGTGGGCGGAGCTACAAGACCACTTGGATGGGAGGAAGTGATGGTTCGGAGGCGGAGTCGTACACAAAAAATAGCCTCCTCACCAAACTGTGGACATGTAGGCTCCGCCCTCCGGCCGCAGACAGACTCCGAATGAAAGCCCATCACAAAGTCTGTGACCGCGATACCTGCGGACAAACACACACACACGCACACACACACTAATGACTGTAAATCAACACTTTATCCGCTTCTGTGATCAGTTTCCCTGCGCTGGATTTCTCCTGGATGGAGTTTAAAAGTCTGGACACACTTTTTTTTCTCTCTCCAGGCTGCAGCTCTGCTCTACTTCATTCCCGCACGGATTTAACCACTAAGACGCTTTAATAAACTGTGGATGTGTGATTGTCGGAGGAATAACTAACCTCAGTATCTAATTCAAATTTTAAAAAAACCTGGAAAACATGGGAGTATTTTGATGTTTTGACCTGGAATCGGGAGCCTTGGAGCTGCAGGACCATGTAGCTCAGAGGTACGTCTGCTCTGCTTTTTACTTTAATGACATTTGGGAATATGAAATTACAGTCACTTTACATTGGCCTACACAGACTATGTTCATATCAAATATCCTATAATGTTGGCAGATAGAGGTGGATATATTATTAGGATGCAGTTTAATTACAGTCATGACGACAACAGCTCTGACCCAAAACAAGAAGTCTGCTCGGTTTCGTTCGGCTTGTAGCCTACAACTGAAATTACTTTTTCAAATCAGAAATTTGTCTGATTTTTTGCCACCATAACAGCCAAATCGTGTTATGAACTCCAACCTTGCCTTGCTTTTTTAGCTCCATTCTTGTGTTTTCCTCCCCCTCCTGATATAGCCTACATTAATCCTACACTGGCTCTAAGCGATATTTTCTGCTTTTATGTGATTTTTTTTTTTTTTGTACTTTTAATCCTATTATTGCATTGAGAATGTAACAAGAGGAACAAAAAAAAAGGTTAAACAAGGCATCTCAAAACATCATGAATAAACCCACTCAAACTAAAGGTGTTGTGTGCA